TTAGTGGCAAGTTATGATGCAATAATGTCAATGTTTCGGCACGATCTGGAAGTAAGCGGTTCCTTTTTGTCTCATATACATTGCCAGCTTCCGAAAAGAGACGCTCGCTATAAACTGTGCTGGCGGGACAACATAGATATACTTTGGCTATACGAGCCATTTCAGGATATCTAGAACTGTTCTCATGCCACCACTTAAATGGATCTTCAGTTCGCTTTAAGACTGGCAATGTGCAGTAAGAAATTAAGAATGAAGTTCGTGAGCTGAACTAGATGTTTCGTTGGCAATATTGTGCACTTTTCACGTAACCATTTCTCGGTAAGCTCTTTATTATCTACCTTTAAATTTTAAGCGATTATAATTCTCAGCCAAGTTGGCTTATAAGTATTTTTTTATAGGATAAGGGTGACAAACGAGCACACAGTCCACCTGATGGTAAATGGTTGCTTCGGCCCTAGGACATCTAGGGGAAAGGCGTACAAAGTGACATACCTACTTTTCTCCGAAACCACAGACTTATTAGTTCTCACAATGGCTTGTAAAGGATCGCTTAGTAACAGGTCGCAACCTGTGGCAGCACCAGTCGCGTTCGTTGGGCCGTGTGGTGCGGACACATGTTTGTTTAATTTTTGCAGTCACGAGTTATAAGCAGGTGGATTTTGTTTCTCGTACAAGTAAGTAGTTTTTACTTTAATTTGTTTTTATTTAGCATTTATTTATTGTAATTTTACTAAATAACTTCGAGAATGTTTTGGAAACGCAAAATTCTAGTTAAATTTTTAGTTATTGTTTTCTTATGTTGAAGGTTATGAAGTGGACAAAATGGCATACGCCTTGTTCGGGTAAAATAGCATACTATGTCATATGACCCACCTTTTTTTTCTTTTTTCCAGATAATTGTACATCATGCCACGCAACTATTCTAGAAAAACAGACCGACAGGATTGGGATAAAACCTCCATGGAAAAGGCTATTGAAGCTGTAAAGAATAATGAAATGGGCTGGCTATTGGCTTCTAAAGTGTTTAACGTCCCACAATCGACTCTTAGAAGACATGCACTGAAACAAAATAAAGTCTTAGCTCCAACTACAAAAGGTACCTACTTAGTATTTTATTTTTATTTTCGCGTTTTGTTCGCATGATTAGAGCGAATTTAAACACGTACCTTTGTTTTAGGTATGGGTATGTACAGGAGTGTCTTCACATATGAAATGGAACGAGAACTGGTAGAACATATTAAATTACTAGAAACGAGATTGTTTGGATTTACAAGAAAGGAAGGAATTGGCGTACCAGTTTGCAGACGTTAATAATATTCCTCATAACTTCAACAATGAAAAAAAGATGGCAGACAAAGAATGGTTGGCTGGATTTCGACGCAGACACCCGGACATATCCTTGAGGAAACCTGAAGCGACTTCAGCTGCAAGAGCCCAAGACTTCAACAAGCCCCAAGTAGCACTGTTTTTCAACACCTACCAAGACATTATTCAGAGCAACAACATTTCTCCTCATAGGCTCTACAACGTCGATGAGTCAGCATTATCAACAGTCCAGAGACCCCAAAAGGTCTTTGCTACTACTGGGCGTAAGCAGGTTGGGGCTTTGACTACTGCTGAAAAGGGGTCTCATGTGACAATTGTTTGTTGCATGAGTGCAAATGGCCATTTTATCCCGCCGTGTTTAATTTATCCTAGAAAAAATATGAAACAGGAGTTGATAGACGAAGCTCCTACCGGTACTATGGGTATTGCGCAGGAATCAGGTTGGATGACAACAGCTGTATTTTATAAATGGTTGGTGCACTTTCAGTTGCATGTAAAAGCGAGTCTTGATGACAAAGTGCTTTTAATTGTTGATGGACATATCAGTCATAAAGGTATTAAAAGCTTAACATTCGCAAAAGAGCATGGAATCATTATGGTGTGCTTGCCACCTCACTGCACGCACCGCATGCAACCATTAGACGTATCTTTCTATGGTCCATTGAATACTTATTTTAATCAAGAAGTGATTCAAAATCAAGAATTAGTCCGGTAGGATGGACAAGTACTTTAAAAAAATCTGTTGCAATTCTAATTTAGTTTATATTTAACTTTTTTTAAATAAACGTTAGAAAATATAATAAAGGAAAAGTAGAAAAATAAATTAGTGACCTGGCAATATGTCATCTGTCACTTATTGAGCAAGATGGCGACGACACGGAAGTCTTCAACTTTACTCAGGGTATTTATATGGTTTTTTTATATTATTTATTTTTTTACATTGGATTTTTGTTGTGATATTTGTTGTCATGTAGATAACGCATACATTCACTAACAAAACAATATAGTAATTGCAGTTTATTTACTAAAAATAGACCTGTTAAGTAGTTGTCCGCCACGCCGGACCGTACCGAAACTACGGCAATGCACACGAAGTTTTACTTGTCCATGGCAGCGGACTTTGTCAATAACATAGTAATAAATAGATATGTGTATTTCCCTTTCATGACAGTGCAAAGTATTTAGTTTTCTATATAAATATCATTGGATTTTTTTATAATAATGAGCATACCTTTTATGAATATTAAATAATATATACATATATCTATAAATTTCCTATAATTACGTACATATCATTACATAAAATCAGTATAAATCGTTACACTCTCGTGATATAGCTTTTATTTTTGTGGTGGTTTGCTTAGCTTTTCTTTTTTTGCTCTTTGACAGTGTCGCCTGCATGAACGCTCGAAAAAAATATTAGCACTTGTACCTAGAGAGCGTGCACCATCTGAAACAAGTGACAAGTCAAATTCTGGAAATCAGCTTGATGAGTCGCATGATTCTAACTCCTCCTCGCCTGCACCATCGCTTGCTTCCTCTTTAGAGCGCATGAATCTTTTGGATGGTTCCTCTGAAGCACTACCTGAAAACCAATCTGAAACAGACAAAGACCCCGATTTATCCAATGTTCCTCTAACTCCTATTTTACAAAAAATTCTACCTAATCCAACACAAGAACCAAACTTTCAAAACTTGCCCTCTATATCATCTTTACCATCTTTACATACCCCATCCCCAGTCACTAGAAAAAGAAGACAAACGGCTACTTTTGTAGCTAAAAAAAGGCCAAGGGAACTACAAAAGTTGACACTCGACTTCAAATGGAAAAAAGGTACTTTTTTACACAAAGCTCAAATAGAAGATCCGGTTATGTCTGGAGATGCCCCCGAAGTTTTGTCACCTTTACAATATTTCTTTTTTTTTTCTCACCAGATATCATAACAGATATAGTCAATGAAACAAACGCTTATTCAGTCCAAAGAACTGACCGATCCATACAGCTAACAGAGAATGAGTTGCGTGACTTCCTGGCAATACACATTTTGATAGGTATTGTACCTCTGAGCTCTTATTTAGATTACTGGAGCATGAAGTTCAGATATGACAAAATAGCAGAAGTTATGCCTTTGAAAAGCTACGAGCAAATTCGACGATTTATTCATTTTGTTGATAACATTTTGAAAATAGCGATAGATATTATAAGATTAGACCTATTATAGAGAAGATACGTAGAAATTGTATTGCTCATGAAGATGAAAATAGGTTCAGCATCGACGAGATGATGATTGCATACAAAGGGCGTAAAGCCGGTAAACGGAGGCAATACATGAAAGATAAACCGATAAAATGGGATTTTAAAAACTATGTTCGGGCAGGTACATCTGGTATGATTTACGATTTTATACTATATGGAGGAGATGATACCTTTAGGAATCATAAGTTTACAGATGAAGAGCAATCTTTGGGTTTTGGGGCACACATTGTTATTGCTCTATGTCAAACCATACGAAATAAGCCTGCTATGGTATATTTTGATAACTTCTTCTCGTCGCCCGAATTAGTATATCTACTACGAGAAAACTATGGTTTATTTTCTTTAGGGACAATTCGAATCAACCGACTGAGAGGGGCAGAAGATAAATTGATCTGTGAAAAGGCTCTCAAGAAGAAGAGACGAGGAAGTTATTGTCAGTGTGTCTGCAACAAAAACAAATTAGTTGTCGTAAGGTGGTACGACAATAAATGTACCACACTAATAAGTTAATACACAGATGCTGATCCCGTCCATAAAGTGAAGAGATACTGCAAAGAGTCGATGTTGATTCTCCTAATATGGTCAAGGATTATAATTAAAATATGGGTGGTGTTGACTTAACTGACATGATGATATCGTTATATAAGACACCGTTCAGAACTAAACGCTGGTATATAGCGATATTTTCTCAAATGATTGACATTTGTGTAAACAATGCCTGGATTCTTTATAGAAAGCAAAAAGCACGTGCTGCAGGTGGTCGTGTCAACTTTATGAGACTCAAAGATTTCAGATACGAAATATACTACGGTTTATTGAATAAGAACAGAGCTGCTACCTACCAACGGGCTGAAGTTACTTGCGTCCGCCATGTGTGCAAGCCTAGACCACCTGATGATACCCGATTTGATAATATGGGGCACTTCCCATCTACAAAGGAGGAAGGCCGTTGTATGAATTGCAATAAGAAAACAACTGTATACTGTTTAAAATGTAATACGCGGCTATGCTTTGTGACAGGAAAAGCTCCACGCAACTGTTTTTTTTAATTTTCACGTAAAAGGTTAATACTAGATTTCAAATAAACATAATTTTCATTCCTTTCCTCTCATTTCGTTTTCATATCTTTATTTGCACTCTTAAGTGGTAAAGTCCACCAGGGCGGACAAGTTATTTTACTTGTAAATCTCTATGTGCTCGACGGAGTCCGCTGTGACGGACCCCCTTTTTCTCAAAAATGGTAGGTGATTTAATTTTTTTATCTTTTTTACGAGACTCTAACATGCTATAGAAACCCAGCTTTTGAAACACATTTGTAAAATTAGCATATTGAGAACTCCGTCGAAATAAGGGTTAAAGAGCCATCCAGGTAGAGTTGTTACTCACTTTCAAATAGGCGCAATACTCAATAAAGCTTATGGCAGCAGCAACGGTTCAAACTGCCGTCAATGGATTTCAAAAAACTGGTCTCTGGCCTGTTGATCCATACATATTTCCAGATTATTTGTTTGAGCCTGCTGAGACGACAAACATTCCCATGCAACAAGATCGGGTAGAGCCCGAAGAAGATTCAAAGGCAGCAGAAAACCTATGCATACCCTCAGCAGGTCCATCTCAGGTAGAAGCAGGGAGTTCGACATCACTAATAATTGCAAGCACATCAGCCACAGACAACCCACGTCCACTCTCAGTAGTCCAATCTAGAGACACAGCTACTGCAATACCTACGACACCCACATCATCTAAATTGATACTCCAAGAAATATCTCCAGTGCCAAAAGGAATTTATGTGGCTGTACAAGGTAAAAGAAAACCACGCAAGAAACCAACAGTATTGGTGTTAATTTCAACGCCAAATATAGAAGAGGCAAAAGCAAAATCAGCTCCTCCACCTTTTGCAAAGAAAAACACGAGAAAAGTTACAAAAGCTCTGGATTTTAGTTCCGACAGTGAAAATGATTTCTCTTCCTTACAAGCTCACACTGTAGCCGGAGATGATGATGGAGATTGTCCTTGCATTTATTGCAATGACCTCTACTCCAGGTCCAAGCCAAAAGAGGTCTGGCTAAAGTGCTTGAGCTGTAAAAGATGGGCTCATGCATCATGTGCAGATGTTCCGAAAAATACAAAACGTTTTACGTGTGAACTCTGCATGTAATCGACTGATTTTCATAAAAAATTTGGTATGCCATTTTGTCCACACCACGTGTGTCATTTTACCCGCCTAGGGTGGACTTAACGGTTTTTGTTCAAGTTTGAAAAAAATATTAATAATTCTATTGTTTTTGCACTAAGTTGATTGATCTCTATAATTTTAATAGGTAATGAACCAAAGAATACATAGTTACTTAAAGTGTTCACTATTATTAATAAATATAGATTTGATGACTGATTATATAAGTAGTATGTCATTTTGTACGCCTCTCCCCTACATCTATCCTCTATTACAAATCAAAATGTAGATGCGTTGTCACCCGTGGGGACTAAGATGGAATGCCTCATTTCCAGTAAAAAGGGCCTCCGGCCACCTGCACTCACCAAGCGAAACGCAGAGATAAACCTCTACTTCACGCTGGTTTTCTGTGAGGTCGTGGTACCACCCCGGTTCGAGCCGGCCCATCCGTGCGACAGCAAAAGCTGCCGCGTGGCTCTACCACTGTTAAAAAGTATGACCATTAATAAATCACAGGGCCAAACATTGCAATATTGTGGCGTTAATTTGAGAGAATCATGCTTTTCACACGGTCAATAGTACGTCGCATGCTCAAGAGTTGGGTCACGTCGAAAATTATTCATTTACAGTCCAAATAATAAAATAACAAATGTTGGCCTGGCAACTTTGCCATTTTTGGAATGACTTAAAAGCTTAGGATCAATTTTCCAACATAAAAGGTACTCTTATACTGGACGTTAATGATAAAAGTGATACTATATTCTTTTAAGATTTGATATTTATTTGTAATTCAAACATATACTAACATTAAATACACAAAATACTCATAGTAAGAAAATGGCAAACTTAACCTTACTTTGTGGCAACTTTGCCATCGGGGTTTTTAATGAAAATAATAGGATTTAATATCAAGGATGAAGGTAAGTTTACCACATAATATAATACACAATACAAAAGTTGCCCACCCATTATTCAATTTTTCATACAAACTTGAAAATAAGTGTCAGTACGTACAGTCACGTAGTGAAGAAATATAATACGGTAGGCCTTAGTTAACCTACTTATGTAAAATATAAATAAAATAATGTAAATATAAAATATTGTAAAATATAAACCACAAGATGTAAAGAAGTTTCACTACCTACCTGTACATCGCTGATGGCAAAGTTAACTTCCATTGGTAAAGTTGCCAGACTTGACTGTATATAAGCAAGTGTTGTAAACATAAATTTAAAAAATATAATCGCTTATAAAACTCTAAGTATGTACGAGAGTGACACTTAGAAAATGGGTGGGATCTTAGAAAATAAAAAACTAAACAAACTAGGAAGTTATTAGTTTTATTATATCTTTTCAAAATAGTGACCATTTACATCAATACGTCGCTGCATCTGATGGAACCACTGAGAAAAGCACTTCGCCCACTCGTCCTTAGAGGTCTCTTCAACGGCATTTTGAAACGCAGCCACTGCTTCCTCGGCGTCCATAAATATTTTATAAAAATCACAAGATGCAAGGTCGGCGCTATAGGACGGGTGACCCAGTAATTCCACGTGACGACGTCGCCAAGTAGTCGATTGTTTGCTTGGCGGTTTGCGACGATGCGTTGTCGTGATGAAGGAGGAAGCATCCTGACCGCTAAATGTTCATGGAGAATTTTGTGCACTTGACTCATACCGATGCGTAAGCTTGTCCGAATCTGCTCATAAGTCACTCTTTTGTCAGTCTCTATAGTACACCGCCCTACATTGATGTTATCTTCAGTCGTCGCCTAGAAGGCTTTCCCTCACGCAGATCATCATTGTGATTAGTGCGATCACGTTTAAACTCATTAAACCAGTTGTAAACAGAGGCACGAGATGGGGCAGTGGGGCTTTATCGTGAAAGGCCAATCGAAGTCTATCATAATTTTCTTGTTGACTTAAATGACATCGAAAGTCATGGTAGGAAAATTTTCTCGCGTTAAATTCATGCTGACGTGACACAGACAATTTTCAATTTGCCGCCAAATCGTAAACAAATGACAAATTAATAAATTACATATACAATAATATTGGCAAAGAGTTCCATTTTCAAAATTTGAACTTATTTTTTTACTATATCGTTTACAAGTGGCCAGTTCTAAAAACTTTGAGTGTCGGCATAGTATATATTATGAATACATATATTCAATAGAACATTTTTTTTCGAATTTGATACATAATTATTTTAATACGTAATTTAATTAATCAGTCGCTTTCGTATACACTATATACAACTTACATTTAATGGTACAAAGATTTGTGTACATATATAAAATTAAAAAAAAACTGATTTTATAACCATTAAGTGTGCGATGTATTTTGACCCGGGCCGGGTTTCGCTGCTAGTAATTATATAAAACACAATGGTAACCAGTCATTCATGCTATGTAAATTAGTAAATACAATCATGTATATATATATATATATATATATATATATATATATATATATATATATATATATATTACCGATTAATACCGGCACCGATTAAGTATATATATATATACTTAATCGGTGCCGACGGGGATTGAACCTGGGTTGCTCGCGTACTGTGAAATTTACAGCGAGCGCTTCACTTCTGAACTACCATGGTATGAAATAGATAGTTCATCTCATTTAGCTTAGCGTTATTTTGTTTCTCGATATCATAAAATCAAATAGTCTTTTTGAAATTATTGATAATCTGTATTCAATAAATATGTATTCATTACAGTGAAATTATTCTTTGTATACATAACTAATACGTTGTAATTATAATCTATATATATATAACACCCAGACAAGGCAATTAAAAATAAAACAAATAGTAATCATTTATAAAAAAAAACATTTATTAACATAATGCGCCAATTATTAAAACAGTAACATACATTTTTATCAAGTCTCCCAATTGTAACGAAACACTGGGCAAACATTGGTCAACATATTGAGTAACCGTGGCAAATCAAAGAATGTTACAGACACATAGAAAATTCAGACAAGAGTTTCTAACAATAAGTTCAATTAAAACTATATGGAGGTTGCTAGACTACGCTTTAGTTGCCCGACCTCAAACATTTGAACCAAAAACGGTCCTCTAGTTAGGATTGCTAAGCAACACTTTATACTAGGCAGAAAGCCTAGAATAAATTGCACCATAGGGGAGATATTTGCCGTGTTTACCACGCTCGGCAGGCGCGTTAGCAACCGCAGATTCGTTCTTATTTAGTTGTTATCAGAAAGATGCTGCTGCCCAACTCCTGTTTTATTAATTATGTCGCCTCTTTTGACACCTACGGGTTGATATGGGCCAGTAGATATTCTTACTCCACCGATAGATGGCAGAGCCTTGCGATCTATTAAACTAAAATTATGTGTTAAATAAATATCATAAAACTATATAAAGTTCGCATATTTTTGTCGTAGACGATATTGGATAAAAAGTAGGTTGTTGTATATATTTGTATAAGTAAGACAATAATATATGGAGGTGGCCAATGTTCAGTAGTGAACGTTTACTAAGCTATAATGATGATGGATTAGATGGCAGGACTCGTTTTCTACTTATGTGTAGGTATCGCCCTCTTACGTATTTTTATTGAGATGCAGCAGTGCATCCACCGCGCTGTTCCGGTTTAAGATATGTTATTATTGTAAACACAAGAAGGCAGACAAAGAAAGATAGAGAATGGAGTGCAGTATATTTCCAGTGACGTCGAAACCATACTCAACTTCTTGACACACATTCACGCACAAATATTTTGTTCTTTCTTTCTTTAAGAGTTCGTAAAAGTCCGCAGGTATATGTATACATATGTATTTACATATATATTCAATATTTTTCCTGTCCCGTGACCCACATATGGGTCATTGCTATTGTCTTACTATTGTGTCTGCAAATCGACAGTAAAGTGTTTAACCATGTTGTAACGAATGATATTTGGCTCTCTTTATGTGAAGGGTCCGATAAAGATGTAAAAGTATCGAAAAGGTTTTTATCAAGGTTCAAATTATGAGTTATTAGTATAAAGTTCATATAGCCTTCTAATAATATGTCCATATAACTCTTTGATTTGTTTCCCGCAGTACTCAAGACAATTAACAATATATTAATAAGCATAGCACCTAACTGAAGAAAATTTCATAATTAACTAAATAGTTTGTGCGACAATTTTATAAATGCCTAACTACTCAACTGTACAGCGACACGAGCCTAAAGACGCTCTTGGTAACTTCAGTCAACAGTAAATTTGTTACACGGTTATAATTACAATAATTTTACTTTGATTTCATACAGAAATATAAACATCTTATAGGACGTGGCATTAATCTCTTATCTCATAACATCCAGTATTAAATGTAACATTTCAAACATTTCTTCCATTTTTTTAAATTACATATCATATAGTCGATGTGTTAATTTATTATTCGAAGTAACAATCTTTGTCGTCATTAGAAGCATATATTCGCTATAAACGGACAATATTTAAATAAATATCAACGGTGATGTTGAGCAAAGCAATTTGAGAGCGATCCCGAGATGTTTGTTTACGGTCGAATGACTCGCAATTGGCGCGAAACTAAAATCGAGTCCGCGAATATCTTGCTCACCGAAAACAATCGAGATGTTTTTCGATTGTTCCGAATCAAATTACTAGTCACTACGTTTTTTCGCTCATTCTCACCCACATCGAGTCGTCGATGAATCGGGCACCCGACTTGAATTCTTGGCCCAAACCCAACTTACTGATTTCTTGGCCCGACCCGAGACTCGAACCCGATACCTCATGATCAGAAGTCGCGCTTACGATCTTTATACCAGCGAGGGAGTCAGAGGTAAACATAACATTATACAAGGTTATTTTTCAAAGATTATCCAAATATATTTAATTTCAAGTATATAAATAACTAACGATCCGCCCCAGGTTTCGCACGGGTGATCTCTGGATCTCGACACCAGCGCCACCTACCAGATCCAATTGTAAATCTAAACCATCCAGGGACCCACTAAAACACACAAAAATTTCATCAAAATCAGTCGAGCCATTTTCGAGTTTTAGCGAGACTAAGGGACAGCAAATGATTTTTATTTATAAAAATAATGATATACCGTTATTAGTGTTTTTAAAATACGAGTAAATAAGACTAATTTTATTCGAAACTATACCAAATTGAATGTGATTTATGGGCAACAATTACGATGACGCGGCCTCCTCTGTGTACGATTCAATTCACGTTTTTGCCGATTGAGCGACCCTTACGAATGTTTGTGTGCGTAGTAAAATAGTAGGCGTTACATATGTATGAATGACAATCAGTTAAAATAATTTATTACCACACATTTTGAATTTAAAAGATATAAAGGACAGAATATTTGATATTTCTTTAATTAATTTTTCTTCACATTCGCCTATATTACTTATTCTGAACCTTTTCTTCATATTTGGGCGTATATTACAAAATACAGAGTTATTTTGTAATATACGCCCATAAATGTGATATTGAACACATTATGCGGTTAGTACTTCACAAGCTCAAATCTATTGAGGATATTACATGATTATATCATGTATGCAGCGAAAATTTGCTTTGCTTCTAATATAATATAATACTTGAAGTTATTTTTAGTGTGTTGCAATAAAAACTAATAAAATTTACATACCTATTAGGAGAAAAACGCCGGTTACGTATTTTTTTCTATTTTCATGATACTCATGGCACGATGACTAATATTGTACTATAACACTAAAATAATTCTCATCAATCGTTGTTCTCGAATGCATATTTTCAAAATATGATTTAATAAAAGTAAAAGATCTTAAATATTTATAAAAAAATATAAGTCCTTTCTACAAAAGCAACGTAACATAATACTGTCATTTCAAAAAATATAATGCTACAACTACTTCAATGTTTAATTTTAAACTTTTACAGATTAAAAATTACAACAGTTTTATTAACGTGTTAGGCTACTAAAAGCAAAATAGAGTTAATACTCAAAAAAATGTAAAGGTATTTGCTGGCATAAGCTAATTTAAAAACGTTAGTAAAACAATATAGCATGTAATAATTCAGCATAAAATGCATTATGTTCGAATCGATTACTCCATAAAATCGATACCTGCTTTATATTTTTACTAAGTAATCGATAGTATAACGGCATGAAAACATTTTAGATATAATTAAATGAAGATTGGTGTCGGCGCACGTCATCGCGCCTCGGCCAAAATTGAGGCCACGTGGAGGCGCAGACCGGTCGCAGAGCACGCGACAGCGCGGGCGCTTCTGTCATTCTGTCCCTCACTCAGCTGCGCAGCGTTGCGATCGATACGGCAATTGCCGTAATATACGGCATTCCACGATTTTTTTAAAGATTATACGGCATACGGCAGGCTTTTCATTGCCGTATCAAGTATTACGGCAATTCAGCTTTGCGATAAACCACGATGGCAAATTATGAACAAAAACATAAATACCTGTTTCGATATCGATATTTTTTCACTTCCGTCATCCCATAAGTGATAATAAAGAGCATGAAGGTTAGAGAAAAGGAGAACGATCGCCGTAGAAAATAGTGTCCCAGAAATATGGACAACATTAGTGAGGCCGTGAGGCGCTGCGATCACTAAGTGTAGTCAATAAAAGTCATTTTCAGTCTATTTTTCCGATCAAATGCTCAACCACTTGCACATACACGCACAATAACATATTTCTCCATTTTTAATGTTTCTTTCTGTCAAAAGTTACAAACTTACGGAGCATGAAAATTTTCTACGAAAAAATTAAATGAAAATTTGTACATTATTCAACTAACTTCACCTACTTGTACTCATAAACGGCTAACTTCGCAGTCACTACTTTTCTTTACCGCCGCCCGCTCGGGACTCGGTGGCTGTCGTTTTCGTTTTCCTGTTCTCTAACCTTCCCTAGCTGAGCTGCGAGACGCAGCAGCAGACGGCCACTTCATTTTGGCCGAGGCGCGATAACGTGCGCCGACATTGGTGAACATCAATTTGCAAAATATTGCTATTTCAGTTCACTTTGCTTTTTCTTACTTTTAATGTAATAAAGTTAATTTTATAAATACATTCAAATAAACATTCGAGAATGAATAAAATATTATGATATAAATATTGTTGTGCAATGACGTCTACTGTATTTATTTTGGACTAAATCGGCAACGGGAACACTGTATCATAAAAGAAATTCTAGAACAAAGCTATGCCTCGCTAGCCCATTTTTCGTGTAAGTATTTAAGATGTTCATACGCTCTTTTAGTTATATTTAAAGTGGGTTCAATCTCTAACAAACCATTTACTCCTATCAAACTTAAACCAGCCAAGCCTAGATATGTATGCATAGGATCGGTGCACGTATCCGGCCATTTTGAAAAACCACCAACCACACAATCTTGAGTCTCATACACGTACTTTCTGTTACTGGAGTAGTTTGTTAAATGTAAGGCATCCAACATTTTCAAGGACGCACCTACCCAGAAGCTGTAACACGTGTCGACTGGTTTGTTCGGCCTGCCTTGGAAACCATCAACTTGTCTGAAAACGAGCCACCTTCTTAGTCTGTCAACTTGTTGTTCCGATAACTTGTCCAATTGATTAGTTAGACTTAATGTTGCTAAAGCGCAATATGTTGTCCCTCCATGAGATTCTAGTTCAGGACACTGAGCTATCCCATTGTCATAGCCCTGTAACGACATAAATACTTTACATACTTTACTTGTAGATCATAGGCTAAGCGCTGCAAATTTTACAGCACGCAAACAACCCGGGTTCGATCCCCACTAACACCAATGCCATTGTTTATTGCAATTTTTAGTGCTGATTTAACACGTGCTCGGTGGTAAACGAAAGCATCATGAGAAAACCTGCAAGTCTAAGAAATAAAATATTTCGAGGGCATGCGAAGCCCATCAACTACCATAGGAGCTGCGCTGCGGACTTCTTGTACTATAACCATCTGAGAAATGAGAAAAGTTTTCCCTCTCTCTCTGTCTCTCTCTCTGTCTCTCTCTCTCTCTCTCTCTCTCTCTCTCTCTCTCTCTCTCTCTCTCTCTCTCTCTCTCTCTCTCTCTCTCTCAAGCACTTCTCAGAAGAGGCATTTAGTTAGCTACCACCGCTGACCGAGGATACGGATTCGGTCGTACTCCCTCCGATGTATGTATCTATATATATGTATATATATATATATATATATATATATATATATATATATATATATATATATATATATATATATATGTATATATATATGTATGTATGAATAGGCGGAACTACTATATATAAATATGGCTTAGGGTTGCTTATGGAGGCTCAAAGCAGAAAAAAATTATTACTTTAAAAATTTAATATTGATCATCATCATCATCATCATTATAGTCCTTCACAAGTTGCCGCTGAAAATGAGGTTTCTTCAAGTAATGCCACAAAACACGGTTGAGCCACCTGCATTCTTCTAATTCCTGCATATCTTATCAGGTCGTCACACGATCTGTTGAAACGTCCTAAAATTTTGTCGCCGTCTTTTATATCTTTACAGGTATAATAGCCTCGAAAAACTTTATGAAATGAATTGTCAACTTATTCATTTCATAAAGCTCGACTCCAACGCACGATAAGTACAATGCGATTCAAATAAGAATAGAAACGTCAAGGACCTCGAATGGCAGTGATCTGTCAACTGTCACTTGAAAAGTACGGCTTGCAAAGAAAATTCATTTGCTTATTAATAAGGTTTTTTTTTTCACTTTATTTAACTGAGTCTTAGTATTACCAAATCTATTGGACTCATAATTATTTTCAACCGACTTCAAAAATGGAGGAGGTTCTCAATTTGACTGTATTTTAATATGAGTGTTAACTCAGAACTTTTTCTAGGTGAAACGATTTTGATGATTTTATCTTTTATTTGAAAGCTAGTGCTTCTCATGTGATCACATTTGATCAAGATCTGACCAGTAGTTTTCGAATTATCCTTAATAATGAATATTTAATTGACTTCGAAAACATTGATGATGTTGTCATTTTATTTATATTGAAGTCGGTTATACAATTTTTTTAATTTTACCACTTGTTAGAAATTAATTTAACATGTTGATATTTGATACTAGTCGTTGGAATATTTTAAATACCTACTTAAATCCATGTTCTCTTTTTAAAAGGGAAAGCAGCAGTGATGGTAATGATGACAATGATGACTACTCAGACTGTGATGCAGAGACGAGCGAAATTAAAATACTAGATTCAGATTAGTACTTTTTCGTTCATGGTTCTTTTGTAAATAAATATTATTTCAAAAATATCTGTTTTGCTCACCCTACCTAACTGGTTTGAATTAACAGCTATGACGTCACAATATGGCGCTAGGTCAGTTCTATTCTTATTTGAATCGCATAGTATAAGTTCACTTGCAAACGACGTTTTTGTGAATTATTAGCATGCAATGGATTTTGTGGACAGACAATATCATAATATGTAATAACAATGGCACTTACTATACATTTGATTATATATTCCGTCGCCTTCTCTATATTGAAGCCAGACCAATCGTTTAAAATATAACTGATGCAAGCGGCGCAGTATACAAAGCGCATGTCAGACTCACAGCCCGACAGAGTCGCCGAGAAGTTGCCTTCTTCGGTCTGTAAAGCTTTTACGCCTGTAAAAAGGATAAACCAATAAAATCCAATTTTAATATACCCATGATGGAAGATTCGATCAGCTTTTAGTGATTTACTGGCTTCGAATCAAAACCAATTTAAATATCAGCGTCTGGTATTTTTACTGAAATTATTTACATTATATGAAATTATGGACTTTATCCACATATTCAATTGTGGAACATTAGAGTTTTTATTGATAATTATCTTGATGGCCGGAAATAAGCCACGGAGTCCTTTTCTCTTTTAAGTGTTTCCTGTGAAATGGAAGTTCTTATTCTTTTAACAGCTTTTGTTAATTGACTGCTGAAAACTGACCTTGCCTCAGCCAGTATCGGTATCCTCGGAGTCGACATATCGAGTGACATGCAGTTTCGTGGTCACTTGGAAGAGAAGGCCAAATTGGCCTCTAAAAAGCTTGGCGTGCTCAGCAGAGCGGGACAGTATTTCATGCTGGCACACCGCCTGCAACTTTACAAGGCGCAGGTTCGGCCTCACATGGAATACTGTTCCCATCTCTGGGCAGGGGCTCCCCAGTGCCAGCTCCTTCCACTTGACCGCATCCAGCGCAGAGCGGCTCGAATCGTCGACGACCGAGCCCTATCGGCTCGATTCATTAGCACTGCGAAGAGATGTTGCATCTCTTTGCATTTTCTATCGCATCAACCATGGGGAGTGCTCTGAGCAATTGTTCGGATTAATCCCAGCCGCCAAATTTCAAGAACGCACATCGCGACAGAACTCCCGATACCATCCACATCATCTGGATGATTGGCGGTCCACCACTGTGCGATTTAGAAGATGTTTTCTTCCTCGCACGACCTCTTTGTGGAATCGATTACCATCAGCGATTTTTCCGGACCGATACGACTTAGGGACCTTCAAGAAAAGAGCGTACTCCTTTTTAAAAGGCCGGCAACGCATCTGCAATTCCCCTGGTGTTGCGGTTGTTCATGGGCGGCGGTAGTCACTTACCATCAGGTGAGCCGCATGCTCGTTTGCCCCCTCTTCTATAAAAAAAAACCTTTTCAAGAATGCTCCAACAGACAGATACATTACTTGAAATATTATATGCCCATCCTCGTCACACTGGATAGGCGGATTGATGAGCATATATATAAATTATTTACACTGAGAACTTAAGGACAGTTATTTTTTAACATATTACGCCTTATAAACATTGTAATTTTACAATTGTGAAATAGTTTTGTGATGTATTTAAAGAGTGATAATATAATAATATAAGCAGGTAGGGAAAGAATTGTGAGTCTGCTTCGATTAAACTGCCTGCTACGTAATTCGTATTTTATTGTAAATTTATTCCTAAACAGTACAATTTGGCGACGATATAGTAATTCACGCGTATTAAAGTTGTTTCGACTTACAGTGATATAAATTAAGTCGATTGGATAAAGATGGGAAATGGCGGAAACGTTAATATTGGCGGCAGTCTTATTTTCGACCACCGCTTATAGAAGTGGAATATATTCAAAAGTCGTTTTCAGCAGTACTGTACTGCGAATAACATCACCGAGGAATCGTATAAGTCTGGTGTGAAACGACGGGCCCTGTTACTAACTGCGCTGGTGGAAGATACGTATCGGGTGGCAAGAGATCTCGCTTTCCCAACTGAATTAGAAAACATAGAGTACAAAGTACTACTAGAAAAGTTAAGTGTACATTTTGTCACAAAAAAATGTTCATTTGCGGAGAGATACAAGTTTTATCGAGCAGAGCAGCGACCTGGCGAGGACTTTTGAGCTGGAGACGGCAATGAGAGACCGTTTTGTCCTGGGTTTGGAAAACGTAAAGGAGAGAGAAAAGGTATTTGCTGAGAGTATCATGGACTTGACCTTTAGCAGGGCCCTGGAGCTGGCACAGAGTGTGCGGTGTGCGAGACTCGCTATGCAGAGCACTAGCGTCACCTCACAACTAGGCGTTCCCGCATCTCCTCAGGATGTGTTCGCGATGCATTCCCGTGGTGTAAACAAGTGCAGAGTTTGTGGTAACTCAAATCATAGCAAAGATCAGTGTCGATTTTCGAGTTATTCATGTAAGAAGTGCCATAAAAAAGGGCATCTTCGTAGAATGAGTAAATCTTTAATTAAACCTAATAACTACGAGTACATCGCGGCGAATGACGATAACATCGTTCAAGGTATTTATGATCTATTTACTATTAAGTGTAATAACGGCGAGCCGATGCGCCATATGGTTTTCATAGGTGAGACTGGCTTGGTTTGTGAAATTGATAGTGGTAGTGCAGTGTCGATATTACCATTTAGAGTTTATGAAAACTATTTTAAGAATATTTATAACCTAAACAAAAGCAAAGTAATACTAAATTGCTATAATGGTAGCAAAATTTCTCCTGTAGGTTTTATAACGGTACCCGTTACGTACGAGTCACGTATTAAACACATTAGGTTATTTATTATTCAAACAAATAATAAGCAACCAGCACTATTAGGGCGGGACTTTATAAGCGCTTTTAATTTACAGTTATGTACAGCGATTTGCAACAACCTGACCATCAACACAAATTATGACAAGCTATTTTCAAGTGAATTAGGAACATTTAATAAGTTTAAAATTCACTTAAAATTGAAATCCGACGCAGAGCTAAAATTTTTTAAACCACGTCCTGTACCTTTAGCTTTAAAACCTAAAGTGGAAAAAGAGTTAAATCGTTTACTAGACTTGGGTATCTTAGAAAAAGTGAATCACTCAAGGGTGGCCACGCCCATTGTCCCAGTTTTAAGATCAGACGGGGATATTAGAATATGTGGCGATTTTTCAATTATATTGAATAAAGTTTTATTTATGAATAACTATCCGTTGCCGCGCATTGAGGACTTGTTTGCTAAACTTCACGGGGGGGAACAATTTTCGAAATTGGACCTTTCTAGAGCATACAATCAGTTGGTTTTAGATGACACGAAAGAATTAACCTGTATAAATACTCACAAAGGATTATTTAGGTACACAAGATTAGTGTTTTGTATGTGTTCTGCGCCGAGCATTTTTCAACAAATTATGGAGAATTTACTTGCTGGTATAGAGGGTACGGGTATATTTCTTGATGATATTTTGGTTACGGGCCCCACAAAAGCAGTACATATGGAACGTCTAGAGCAAGTATTAAGTAGGTTACAGGATGCAGGGTTACGGTTAAAAGCAGAGAAATGTGAACTATTTAAAGACTCTGTTGAATATTTAGGTTTTATTATCGATAAAACGGGTCTCCGAAAATCAAAACAGAAAGTAGATGCTATATTAAAATGCTGTAGACCTAAAAATGTAAGCGAGTTAAAATCAGTTCTAGGCATGATTAATTATTATAGATGTTTTGTGCCGAATACATCTGCATTACTTAGGCCTTTGCATTCCTTACTTAAAAAGGGGGAAAAATGGAACTGGAGTAAGAAGCATGACAAGGCGTTCGAATTGATAAAAAAAGAACTAGCGTCTGACCGAGTGCTGGCTCACTACAACGCGTCGCTGCCGACTATAGTGACGGCGGACGCGGGACCGAGCGGTCTCGGCGCGGTGCTCGCGCAGCGTCTGCCTTTTTTTTTTTTTTGCGGATGGAAAATCATCAAATGACGCCTTTCGCTCTGGGTGGAGCGGAAGGGAGTATCAGACTTTTACTGACTAAAAACCATCCGTGTTCCTTCAGTGCCCTTACGTTCCGGAGCCGCGGTATCTCTTTCGAACAGCCCGCAGCCCCGGCAAGCGTCGGCCCTTGCGGGCCCCTTCACGCTGCTGACAGCTCTTTGAGGCGCGCGTGGAACAAAACGCGCCGTCGACACGGCCTGTCGTCGTTAGACGGACGGACGGCGAGCTACCCATTGCTCGCCGTCCACAGGCCCGCGCCTACGGTGGCCGGGGGCCACGACGTAGCCCCCGACGCCCGGGGCGTCTCCCGCGGCGGCCGGGAAGGAAAGCTGCTGCTCTCTCCTTCTCCCGCTCCGCCACCTCCTTCGCTAGCATCATTGCTTCGCAGAAGGTGGTGACGGCAACCCATTCCGTCTCGCTCCGGACCATGGCTTCGACCAGGGCCGGACGCGAGAGGTCGCCGCCGCCTATCGCCGCTACGAGGACACGGCGGTGCTCCGCCCAGGCAGGGCACACCTCCACGGTGTGCTCCACCGTGTCCTCCGGTCGATCCTCGCAGTGGGAGCACCCGGGCGTTTCCTCCCGCCCGATTCGGTGCAGGAACCTCCCGAACACACCGTGTCCGGTGAGGACCTGCGTCAGGCGGAAGGTAAGGACGCCGTGGCGTCTCTCAAGCCACTCCTCAAATAGGGGTCTTATCGCCCCTATAGTGGCGTGCCCAGCACGGGGTTGCGACAGTCGCTCTCTCCATGTCGCCATGAGATCATGCCGGAAGTCTGTCCGCTGCACGACAACTTGCCGCGGCAGCGGGGTTTCCCCCCGGCATAGTGCCTCCGCGCGCCATTCGTGCAGGCGCGCGAGGACTATCGCTTCCAGATCCCATGGCGGCAATCCGGCAAGGAGGCACGCGCGCAGCGTCTGCCTGACGGCACGGAACACGTGGTAGCCTATGCCTCGCGTTCACTCACTCGGGCGGAATGCAATTACGCTCAAATCCAAAAGGAAGCCACCGCTATTATATTTGCAATAAAAAAATTCCACCATTATTTGTATGGCCGAACGGTACCGTTTATCCTAAGGACGGATCATAAGCCCTTACTAACCATTTTCGGAAACAAAAAGGGTATACCTGGTATGCGATCTTTTTATCTGCCTATAATTTCACATTAGAGTATGTTAGAAGTGACAGCAATGTGGCTGATTTCTTATCGCGATCTGTAAATCAATTACAGACCGAAATTGATAATGAATGCTCGGATCTTGATAAATTAATTTTATAGATAACTCAGTTTTAAAACCAATAACTGTGGAAGATATAAAAAAAGAAACATCCCGTGATAATCTTTTAATAAAAGTGTTAGAGTTTATGCGTAACGGATGGCCTCGAAAAGTGTCAGATCCCTTATTAAAGCCATATTTTATTTGTCGGTCAGAGTTAGCCCTAGAAAATGGTTGTATCCTGCGGGGCCACAAAGTAATCATACCGTCAATATTCGGCGAGCAGCTATTAAACGAACTACATTCTTCACACTTTGGCGTGGTAAAAACCAAAGAGCAGGCCAGAGCCCGGATGTGGTGGCCACATATAGATAGGCATATTGAGGAAAAAATAGGGTCGTGTTCAGTGTGTAATAAGTTTCGATGCGCACCTCCGCGCACACCTCTTGCTTCCTGGCCCTACCCAGCACAAGTATGGGATCGTTTGCATATAGATATTTTTTCGTTATATGGTAGGAACTTTCTAATTGCAGTCGACGCATATTCTAAGTGGGTAGAATGCTACCAACTTACTAGTACCAATAGTGAGACTAATATTACTAAGCTATGTGAGATATTTAGTCGGTTTGGATTAGTAAAAACCTTTGTATCGGATAATGCTACAATTTTTGTTCTGATGAAAAAAATATTTTTTTTGTTTCTAATGGAATACAACATTTGCCTATCGCGCCTTATCACCCCCAATCAAATGGGCAAGCAGATAATAGCGTTAAAACTGTTAAAAGAGGAATCAAATTAATTATAGAGGAAAATGGATTAAATAATCAAATTATTTCAAAAAAAACTAATAAATTTTTATTTGATTATAGGAACAGTCGGCATTGCACTACCGGTTTTTCTCCAGCTCAGTTAATGTTAGGGCGCTCCTTGCGGTGTCGGCTCGACCTGTTATCAGTCACTACTGAATCGTTACCGCTGTCATCGACATCCGCCGTAAAAAAAATGTTTTGTCTCAACAGATCTCTCAATGTAAGCAGTATGGGGGCCATCGTACAACTTCTTTTGCTATTGACGATAAAGTATTAGTTAAGTGTTTTTATAATAATGGTTCCAAGCATGTGTGGAAACTTGGAAGAATCGTTAAGAAAGTTGGTTCTAGAATGTATGTGGTAAAAATTGAAAAATCATGTAAAAGTTTAAAAAAACATATTGATCATCTAATAGCTTATAAAGGAAATTGTACATTACAAGATGACGTAAATACGGATATTTCTTATACCGATAATGACGTCATAGATTATTATACACCTTCTGGAACTGCTCGGGATACAGCGAAAGAACAAAATGTTCAAAATACCTTACAATGTACTCATTCTATGAACGATTCCTTAAGTAGCGGTCAATTGCCCCCGGAATTAGAACTAGGGGAGGAGAGGATCGTTAGCGTTGAGCCGAGTGATACGGTTAGTGCGGTTGGTAATGTCTTGACAGACTCAGCTCTTCCAGAATCTGTTTCTGTACAGGCCATGTCCAACCACGCTGACACAGAGCATTCAAGGGGTGTCCGTTCTACTAGAAAGAAGAATCCTATTTATAAAGTTTAGTTTACATTTTATTATATAATTTTGTACTATTGGTGGAGGGAACTGTGATGTATTTAAAGAGTGATAATATAATAATATAAGCGGGTAGGGAAAGAATTGTCAGTCTGATTTGAGCGATTAAACTGCCTGCTACGTAATTCGTATTTTATTGTAAATTTATTCCTAAAAAAAACACAGTACAAGTTTATACTGATATAATATTATAATGATGTTCGTCTGGCCGTTTTCAACTGTGCAGAAAATAATGATGCACAAGAGACACTGATACGAATGGGTCAGCCCTATCACGTTCTCACAGGATACCAGCTTAAAATAGCACCATTACACTTGCTGCCGTGTTTCGAATGATGAGTGACATGAACCGGAGACCCATTTACCGGTAACGAGGCATTCCACACTAGTTATGGGGTAAAACCGCATCAGTATTTATATTTTAAGAACTGAACAAAAACAAGTGGTCTGTTACGGACGGCGAGGGGAGCCGCCGCCCCGTCGCCTCCGCATGCCCCGTCACGCCCCGCACTCCGCAACAAAATCACATGATGCAAGCAACCAATGAGCGCGCAGCGAACCCGTGTGGGAGACCACCTACAGCGAGACCCGGACGCGCGAATATAATAAGACCCGTGGAGTTCATTCGATTCACTCGCGACAAGGAAGAACTACTAAAGAAAGAAGAAATCAAAAAAAATCCCTCTAGTTAGTTGTACTGCCGAAATCTCTGTAAATGGTCAAATAAATTGTTTCTTAAGTTGTCCCATCTTTCTTTGATAGAACTGAAATAACATACAGTCCAAATTAGTCTCAGTCAGTCAAATTAAATAATTAAAGTTTATAGTCCACTCGCTCTCCCAGTCCTTTCACCGGTGTTTAATAAAATTAATAGAATTGATTTTTATAATTCAATCTTACCATTTATAATAGCTTTTCTATTAATCCTTGATAGATCATCACCCAAAGCCAAAAGTGAGCATAAAGCTGTATACGTCATAGCGAGATGACCGCAACGATAGTGACTATTTGCACTGTCCAAGTCGATGTTTATTGTTGACGAGCCTTGAAAACCACAGGTCGACATGTCTCCATCTGTAATTTAATATTTTAATCCTTTTAGACGTTTTAACTTTTACAGCTATAAATATTTTGAGAATTTACATTATTTAAAAATCCTTTTAAGATAGTTCACTAACCTAATAGATTTTTTTAAGGGAAATATATTTCATCATTACTCAAAGTGACATGAACTTTCATCCTTTGGATAGAACGAAATTACTTGCTGGTAGGGCAACTTTCTTTTATAAAATAAGGGTCAGACCAGCACTCAGTTCACCTCATGGTAAGAGGATGATGTGGCCTATAGACATCTACATTAATCCTCAATAAAGAATCAAAATGCTGATGCGTTGTCACGCCTGAGGATCAAGATGGAACGCCTTGTTTCCAGCAAAACGGTCTCCGGTTCTCTACACTCACCATACAAAACTGAGCAGCATTTTAAACGTGGTAGAGCCATGCTACATCTTTATCAATTGTATAGTTGTAGCACGAATCGGACGGCTCGACCGGGGAAGGACCACGCTCTCACAGAATACCAGCGTAAAATAACAGCTTAATGCTGCTGGGTTTCGTATGGTGAGTACACGAGACCCTTTTTACTGGCATTCCATCATAGTCCTCACGGCTAACAACGCATCTGCATTTTGATTCGCAAACGAAGATGTCTATAAGCCACAGCAACCACTTACCATCAGGTGGACTGTGTGTTCGTTTATCACCCTATCCTATATATGTGCTTGCCTGTCACACTTATCCTATAAAAAAATAAGCTGCAATTTTACACTGGTATTCTGAGAGGGAGAAGGAGCACGCTCTCTCAGATTAACAGCGCTAAATGCAACTGTTTCTTATAGTAAGTGATAAGAATAGCTGAAACCGTTTTTAGTAAACATGAGGCATTCCATCTTAGTCCTCAGGGGTGGTTGATCGAGGATAGTTATAATTCTATCGAAAGTTATGATTATTATTTTGAAGTTTACGTACGAAAAATGTTTGATGGTGGAGTTGAATCATTAAGTGAATTTTAATCTAATTTCAGAAATCGTAATTAAATAAGGTAAAATAATATTGTGATAAACTTATACCTAAAACACAGTAAAGAAATAAAAAGAATATGTTTTCTCACAAAGATTAACGCAACTCTAAGATAGTAGGTTAGTTATAAAAAGTACAAGAGTTAAGACGGGGCGTTCCTGTTTTTGTCCGTTTTAAAATTTGTTTTTGATAGCCAAATTATTACATTTAGAAACTGAAAAAAGTAATATTTTAGATACATTCTTTCTCCTTACAATGTACCCGATCAATACACGATACAATACAATTTTCTCGATAGAAAAAACTACCAAACTACCTTCGATTTGCAGTTTTTTACAAGCCAAATTTCATTTTAAATAATTACTAATACTCCTTTTTTCTATAAAAAAAAATATTAGTTTATAGGTAATAATTTTGGAATCGATTCCACCCAATCGGTTTTTTTTTTCATTACATTTATTAAAAAAAATCGATTATTCAATGCCAGTTGCCAGTGTCCACAGAATACCTTTAAGTGTTCCGCGGGACGTTGCCGTGGTAAGACCTCTGCCAAATTTTTGCGAAATAAAATAAATTGTAAATAACTAGTTTTATGGAACTTATATAGACTATAGTTAAGCTTTTCTTTGTGTGTTTATTTCTCATTGTGTAAATATTTGTTCATAACATTAAAACAATTTTTTTGTGATTATTTTGTAAAAATCACGATCATATGCGTGGCCCTACTCGATCTTTGCGTCGACCGCTTGTAAATATCTAATGCGCTTGGAACACCCAGCCTTAACTAGTGTCACTGATAAATGGTGTTGTGCAAATGTAATGCACAAATGCGGCTTGTGTTTTTCTTTTATGTAAATTCTTTATATTACATAGAAGGAATAACTAATATAAATCAAAACAAATGTACACTTTATTAAGTTAATATATTAACCGTGAATACGGTGTTATATAGAGCTAGGATGTGAAATGAAATAGTGCCTATCTATTTACACGAGGAAAATGTAAGATGTTCTACCTCAAACAAAAAGTAACCTAACAGCCGTTATACATCCCACTGCTGGGCACAAGCATGTTCATATTTCTGAGAGGGTTTTTTTTTTTGGAACAGGGAAGAACTCATCGCATGTTACCCCCTACTTAGGGTTGCCAGATGGTCGGGATTCGTCTGGATTCTCCCGACATTTTAAATGATCTCCAGACTCCCGACAAAACTCAAAATCTCCAGACAAACGGCTTCTCGGAAAGTTCTATACAAAATAATAATTTAAAATTGTCACGCGCGATCACATTCTTCGTCATGTCCCGACAAGATGGCTATCTCTTTTGCCCACTTTAGATCATTTACTGTATTGTTAGTCTGCTGTAAAGCAGTATTTTATGTTGAATGGGGAAGACGAATGTCGAAAAGAGATAATTATATGGGAGTTTGTAACAAAAAGTAAAAGCCATATTGATAATAATAGTGAACGCGTTGACGAAAGCAAACAGGAAGGGGATTTCAGAAGCGTATTTATACTCTGTACTTTGTAACATAATGTTGGAGTTTCAAGTAGCAATTTTAGCATTGGAAAGTGCTCCATGCACTGTCCTAGAACTTGACAGTGTAATGAAAAAACTAAAGTCATCTCAAAACAGGTTGGTTGACAAATTCTTAGGCAGTAGAAAAATAACCTTATTAAGGAGTGTTTGCAATAGTGCGAAAACCCTTTTTTGTGTCAAAACTGAACATTTTTTAAAACGAGCTATTGAATACTTTTCTGAGAACTCTATATAAAAACTCGCTGTATTGTCTGTACAAGGTTCAAATTTATTTACGTGGGAAGAGTTATCCGTATTGCCTGACGTACTTAATATTTCAAACGATATTGACTTTGAAACACTTAAACATCTTCCAAAAAACAAGGACATGTAAAATGACAAAATTTGGGCATTTTTTAAAATTTAACCAAAACGACCTAAAACTTGAAAAATAATATATCATTTGTGTTGCCGATTCCTATAAGCAATGTATACTGTAAATGGCTGTTTAGTTTGTTATATAATTTATATACCAAAGAGAGGAATCGTGAGTTATTGAATTGAACTTATTTCAAGTAAATTGTTTGAATTTGAAATCATTTCTGAATACTACTGTTAAAAGCTTGGGGTTCGAGACAACTAAAACTGCCGAGTGAATTACCAAAATTGACACTTTAATTACAGAACACTAATTACAACTTAAGATCTCCTAATAATAAAACACAATTGTACTACTGATCACTTAAGTTTGCAGTTGTATCGCTTTGAAGTATTCGCTTATATCGCCAATTCAATACTGACTCGGTCGTGGTCTATACCGGCCTTATATAGGGCCTCAGATAGTTTCCAGAACGTTCTACTGTAGCGACATCTAGAATGTTCAAGTACATATCGGCCCCGAAATTTCTAGAAGGATCTTGACTCTCCTAGTTCTGCTACTCGACACTAGAGGGCGCTAGCGGTAACTAGTGTTGCCATGTACAAGACATTAATAGTGGCGCGCAATACTGCCCCCTCTTAAGACATGCTCGTCCCGAGCATTATTGGCCCCATAATAACTCACCAGTCGATCCACATTGACGATCTTAGGAGTACCTCTGGCACCTTTCTGTATCCGGTAGGTTACGTCATTGATCCTTGTCACAATCCGGTACGGTTTGTCCCATTTAGCTTGAAGCTTAGGAGATTTCCCTTTGCTGCGAACTGGATTGTGTAACCACACTAGTGAACATTCATCAAACCCTTTGTTGTTCATTTTGCGGTCATACCGTGTTTTCATCTTCTCAGACGTTTGCTGGCCCGTCTGTCTGACGTGCTCATAAATGTCATTCATTTTGTTCCGCAAATCATTTACATAATCAGCTATACTGCATTGGGCATCAGGTGGTATTTCGGTGATCAGGTCTGCAGGCAGCCGTAATTCTCTCCCAGTTTGCGAAAGCTGGTGTCACTGATGTACTTTCGTGAACAGCGCTTCGATATGACAACAAAAACGGTTGTATGTGCCTGTCCCAGTCTCGTTGCCGTTTTTCCACAACTTTTACTACGTACCTCTCCAATATCTGATCAAATCGTTCTACCATTGCATCAGATTGTGGGTGGTAAGAAGTTGTTCGTGTTTTATGAGTACCCATGACTCGGCAAGTTTCCTGGAATATTTGAGACACAAAATTCCTTCCTTGATCGCTATGAATCTCTAAAGGTATTAGACACTAGAGGGAGCTAGTGGTAACTAGTGTTGCCATGTACAAGACATTAATAGTGGCGCGCAACACTACTAAAGGACCTAAAGTGGGGGACTCAGTAAAGTCCAATACTAAATACATGTGACAACCTAAAATGTAAGTGTAATTAAATTGGTTAAATGTCAACAATGTTAAGCCTTTTTGTAGCCCATTAATTTAAAAAAAAAATATTTTACGTTTTTATTTTTAATATTTATTTCTCCCGACAACAACCCCAAAATCCCGACATTTTCAAATTTTGTCCAGATATTTTGGCCTTCCGATCTGGCAACCCTACCCCTACTGCGTGTTATCGAACCTATTTTTCAACCGACTTCAAAAAAAGGAACTTTTAGAACTTTTTTCTAGGTGAACCGATTTTGATGATTCTTTATTTATTTGTAAGCTGGTGCTTTTCATGTAGTCTCGTATAAATTTGATTAAGATCTGACCAACAGTTTTTGAGTTATCCTTAATTACGCGTCATTAATATGCGTAGCATTGAAAGGAAGTTAATGGTTTTAGCTGGCAGTCTGTTAGTCTGTATGCCGACACGATAACTTCCGTTCCACTGGACCGATTGACTTTAAATTTGGTATGTGGATACCTTGAGGTAGTAGCTCGCTCGAGTTTGAATTTGGGTCCTGTAGGTCAAAGGGCACCAGAGATATGGGATTCACGCAGAAGGAAGTTGTTTTTCTTGAATTTACATTCAACTCGTTTATATTGAAGTTGGTTGTACAAAATTTTTAA